TTTGAATAAACGTAGATTGTTGTACATAAGCCCTAATGCATGTAGTGCTATAGTGATTCCTAAGGAGAGCTCATTCTCACATAAGAGGCTCCTAGTCAGAATCCCTTAATTAGGTCTTAAAATTAGATACTGTGTCTTAAAATTAGATATTGTTTCTTTTATGTTATGGGTAATTATAGGTCTAAGCAAGTATGCTGGCTGTAGGCTTATTGGGAGTTCAGAGAGTTATGATCCTCGGAAAGGCAGAAGAATACGTCTCTATAAAACTTTTATTATGATTGGCTTTCCAATCATCGTTAAAATTATAATTTTAAATACACAGTTAAGCCTCCTTAAATAACAATTAAGGCTTAAGGTCCATGAAAAGAAGAAAGGGTTTGGGGAAATGAGCATAATGTCCCACTGATAACATGGGTCACTTGAAAAAATTCCAATCTGGGGGGGACAGGAGACTCTGTGATTTTTATTTAAAAAAAAATCAGCTTAAACGTACTTTCTGTGATCCATATCATTGCTAGCATATTGAATCACTCAGTGAAAATGATTCATTTTTATTAGGCTTCTGCTTTTATCTTTAATTTTACAGCACTTTGTTGTTTAGTCGTTAAGTCATGTCCGACTCTTCGTGACCCCATGGACCAGAACACGCCAGGCCCTCCTGTCTTCCACTGCCTCCCGGAATTGGGTCAAAGTCATGTTGGTCGCTAAGTACATTATTAATTAGGGGTTGGAGTATGGAAAGACCCAGAAGGCATAAGGTTTTCTCTAAAACGTTTGGCAACCACTGCCTTATACAGGAAAAACCACAGTACTGGAGATACAAAAAAAAGTTAGAAAGCTACCATTGTATTCAGAAAATATATTCATCTGCTGAATGATGAGCCTCTCTCTCGTTAAAGGCAGCCTGATTTATTTCCCATTAATCAAGAGATGAGAGTCTTCTTCTGCCCATAAGACAAAAGCACAACATGGATGTGCAATATTTCTACTGTGGCAGGAATGTTTTTACATCTCCTGATCCCGTCATTCTAGTAAACGCCAGATCCGTGCATCTCACCTGAGCAGTTCAGCAGTATGAAACAGAAGAGGACGGCAGGGAGATTCTGCATGACTGACTCTTGCCTCCAGCAAAAGGAAGTTTAGACAGAATTCAAAGATAACCCTTTATTTATACATCATTACAAAAATGATTGTATCTACAGGGATGATAAGCTTTCTGGCATACCTAGTGAAAACTAAAGGACTGTGTATTCCATGCGTTTTGATTGTGCTGCTTCATGCCATTAAACCCGCCTTAAATGCCTATACAGTGTGTTCCTCTTCTATCTCAAAAACCCCTACGAAGTTTTGAAAATCCGTGTGTGCAAAAGATAAAAAGCACTCACAGATAAAGATGTAAGGGGGAAAAATACAATTAATTAGGAAGTTACTTTGATCCCACTAATGGAATTCCTCTCTAAGGACAGGACTTACCGTTTTCTTTTATTTGGAAAATTCATCTACAACACCTACACGTTCTCATTATTCTTTTCCTTGTTAGCTTTCACTTTTTTTATATTCTGCTTTCAACAAGACCTCAAGGCAGGGAACGTCACAGAAACAATTTGCAATGACACAGCAAATCTAATCTGATGAAGCACCACATTACACCTCCAGGTGAAGTTACTCCCAGCTGTTAATCACAATTAAAGTGTTTTCAAAAGTAGAGGCCTAATTAGAAGCTGTCTCGGAGCCTTGGCTACCGAGAGCATGGCGACCAATTCCTTCTGGCCTTAGGGGCCAAATAAATCATGCCAGCTTTATTGCCCACAGATGCTGTTGGGCTCTAATACCAGTATCATTATTTGGTAAAAAGGAGAAGGAGCAGATTTGGCAGAGAAGCGAACTGCATTTGATGGATTGACTAGAACTCTGGAGAACAGGCTTCAAATCCCTGCTCAGCCATGAAAATTCACAGGAGGAGTGGAATTCGTAAAACCACTACTTAAAATATCTCACATTGAAAGCCCTATTAGGGTTGCTGTAAGTCAGTTCCAACTTGATGATACGGAGCACAAAAAGATCATCTCTTACTCAGTGCTCGAACAGTGAGTTCCTTTCTAATAGCATTATTTTTTTAATATTTGCAGACAAACACTGGCGGAGTGGAATTCGTAAAACCACTACTTAAAATATCTCACATTGAAAGCCCTATTAGGGTTGCTGTAAGTCAGTTCCAACTTGATGATACGGAGCACAAAAAGATCATCTCTTACTCAGTGCTCGAACAGTGAGTTCCTTTCTAATAGCATTATTTTTTTAATATTTGCAGACAAACACTGGCTCTACGGCCTGGAAATGGGGGTGAGCACCATGCCCTGGAATCAGACACGACTGGACTAAATGTCAAGGGGAACCTTTACTTTACACCCCTTCCTGGGATCGTTTTCCTATATAAAGAGTTCCACATTTGAGAACCAACCATAAAAAACATTGGTGAGAAACATCATGGTATGTAGGGGAAGGATGCTCTGAACACCTCACGCTTTTCCGACGGTCACTGCCTGGCTCACCTGTCATTGTGACCCATCGCAGGTGCTCCGTGATGCAGAAATATGTCACAATATCCTGGAGCAAGGAACAAAAAAAAACCCTTATAAACTGAGCGTATGATCGGTTGTTGGTTTGTTTGTTTCCTTGAATCATAAGAAGGGACTGACAGGGAAGGGGAAAGCAATGATCCTCCGCAGTTTTGGAGGAGGTAGCCATTTTAGTCCATGCAAGTGTATCTGAAAAATCTAAATCAACAAAACAAAGGAAGATGAAAACATATGGTACCTTAAAGACCACCAAAGAATTGATGCTTTTGAATTGTGGTGCTGGAGGAGACTCTTGAAAGTCCCCTGGACTGCAAGGAGAACAAACCTATCCATTCTGAAGGATATCAACCCTGAATGCTCCCTGGGAGGACAGATCCTGAAGCTGAGGCTCCAATACTTTGGGTTTCTCATGAGAAGAGAAGACTCCCTGGAATAGACTCTGATGTTGGGAAAGTGTAAAGGCAAGAGGAGAAGGGGACAAGGTTTTGATGCTTACTCATAAAGTCCTCCATGGTTTGGGACCACGGTACTTGTCAAAGAAACAGCGACATCCACGTTGGCTTGGGCATGTCATAAGAATGGCTTGTGGTCGGATTCCAAAAGACCTCCTGTATGGAGAATTAGTGCAGGGAAATCGCCCCAGAGGGAGACCACACCTGCGATCCAAGGACATCTGCAAGTGGGATCTGAAGGCCTTAGGAATGGACCTCAACAGATGGGAAACCCTGACATCTGAGCGTTCAGCCTGGAGGCAGGCGGTGCATCATGGCCTCTCCCAATTTGTCCAACAGGCCGAGGCAAAGAGGCAGTCCCAAAACCAGCGGAATCAGGGAGCTGGACAGGGGACAGATTGTGTTTGTCTTCAGCATGGAAGGCATTGTCACTCTCGAATTGGCCTTCTCAGCCACACTAGACACTGTTCCAAGTCTAGAGTATGTTTCCATTGTCTCTCGAGACTGAAGGATGCCTAATCACTAATCACTTGTCGCAGTATCTTTCCTTCAGGTCATTTGTCTGCTCCACCAGATCCTCCCAGGCAATGCTCCTCCAGGTGGCCACTCTGAAAGTGGCAAGAAAATCATCTTCTTCACTACGGCACCAACGCTCTGGTACCATGTTCCAATGTGGCTGTGCCTGACTCCTTCCCTCCCAACATTGATCTCAAAATGTTGCTTTTTAGAGGGAGCTTTCATAGCAACCCTGCTTGATCCCATGTCTTGTTTCCAGCCTGTTGTTTTGTTATTTCTTTTATTTTTTTCCTGACTGAGTATTTATAACTTAATTGCTCTTGTGTTGTTTTACTTTGTCAAGGTGTAAACTGCCTAGAATAGTACATTGCACTAATGGGGAAGTGAGGTATAATAAATCAATACATCATTAAATCAATGAATCAATAAAGTTCCCGAGTGGTGCAGCAACTTTTTGGCAGAAGAGTAAAGTTTTGTTTTCATAGAAGGAGGCTGAAGTCTCTGTGGGGAATTGTGGTTTGGTGAGACTCCAAAAAATCACCCAGATTGAGAAATTTTGCAAATATTCGTAATCTCCCTCCTTACAATATGTAATGCTTAAATAAGACTTTGAAAGAAAATAGAACAGGAGTGGGAAAACTATGTCCCATAAACCTTATGATGAGCCTCGTGGCGCAGTGGTTAAACTGTGGGGAATTTTGGTGAGACTCCAAAAAATCACCCAGATTGAGAAATTTTGCAAATATTCGTAATCTCCCTCCTTACAATATGTAATGCTTAAATAAGACTTTGAAAGAAAATAGAACAGAACAGGGAAAACTATGTCCCATAAACCTTATGATGAGCCTCGTGGCGCAGTGGTTAAACCGCTGTACTGCAGCCAAAACTGTGCTCACGACCTGGGGTTCAATCCCAGGTAGCCGGCTCAAGGTTGAGAGGGGGGAGAAAATTTTTTTAAAAAAAGGTAAAGTCAACAGGGTTGGGTGTACTGCTGCTTCTTTTCCTACCAGACACAGTAGACTCCTTTCTAGTTTTTAGTGCCCTCTAAAGTCGAGAAGTAAAGAAAGCTGACAGGGGAAAATTGATTTGTTTGAAATGGGGTGCTAGAGCAGAGCTTTACAGATATTCTGGACTGCCAGAAAGATGAACAAGTGGGTCCTTGAGCAAATCAATCCTGGATTATCCCCGGAGGCAAAAATGCTGAAACTCCTACTTTGGGCATATTGCAGGAAGACAGGATTCTCTGGAAAAGACAATAATGCTAGCAAAGGTTGGAAGCAGCAGGAAAAGAGGAAGACCAAATATGAGACATACTGACTCCCTAATAGAAGCCACACGCTTGAATTTACAAGAGCTGAGAGGGGCTGTTAAAGGCAGGGTATTTTGGAGGTCACACATTCATAGGGCTCCCGCGAGTCAGGGGTGAGATGATGGCACATAACAACAGACAATCTCCAGTAGTCCCAGTTTACTAATCCCACACCCCCCGGTGTCACATCTTTCTCTGATCTAGCAGCCGAAATGGAAATAGCACAGTCTCTCCTTCTATAAAAATATTTTAATTGTTTGATTGTTTTATTTCTTCTCCGGATCTTAATCCCCAACCATCTTGAGTCCTGCTTGAAATGGCAGATTTTTCACGCTCCGTGTGTATTCACCTGGGATGTTCACTCTTACATACAGTCTTCTCTCATGTTCCTTTTCTACAACAGTAGATATAGGTATGAACTTGGCAGATCACTCTTGGTCCACGTCTCTCGCCTTCTGCACACTTCTCCTTGCATCTACCGGGACACCATTTCGCTGGAGTCAATGCTGATTCTGTATTAGAAAAAAGGGGAAACAAGGCTTGGGGTTAAGTCACAGTAAAGGTTGGCGTCATTGGGATGGTGGACCAACACTGCAAGTTTCCCCAAACTTTATAGCAGCTATCCATGGTGCTGAACCCTATCCCCCAAACTGGTTCTGTCTCTTAGGTATCTCCTTTTAAAGAACTGCCATCAGAACTGCCAGCATCCACTGGGTAGAGATGGATGATGTGTTGGACATTTCTAGTTCAACTCACCATCAGCTATGTGCTCAGAATAGCATCTGTTCTGGACCCACATCAATTGCTGACCCATATTTATCTTGCTGCATCTCCTTGGCATTCCACTGGCTTCTGAAGGTCCATATGTGCCCTTCAGACAGGAAAGCTGTTTCCCTGTGTTCACTGGGCGTCTTGAAATCTCAAGGAAAGCCATTCATAACTTTACTTCCTCTCAACCATCCTGCATCATCATCACCTTAGAATTGCAGAGCTGGAAGGGACCCTATGGATCCTCGAGTCCAGCCCCTGACAAGGAGACAAAGTAGAGAATTGAACTTCCAACCTCTGACCCCTCAGTGAGATGCCTCAACCACTGAGCTATCCAGCTATACTATATCTTCCATCTCTGGTTGGACGGACATGTTGCCTTTGTAGTGTAACAGAACCAGCAGAAGACGAAGCTTGTTACCATAACATTGAATGAAGAACACAGATATCTCAACATTTCCTGGAGGCCTGCAAAGTCTGAATAAAGCTTCTGTAGAAGAAGGCTGCTCAACTGGCCAGCCCTCTGTAGCAAGTTCAGTACCATGAGATGCCACCTGGGGTAGGAACCCTCTCCCTTTTTTCCCCTGTCTATCAAGGGAACATCAAATTATGTTAACCACACTAATAAGCACAATTGTGTTGAACACAACATGGATCACTGACACTTGAGATACATCCCCTGCAGTGGACTGGCAGGTCTTGGAGTGCCACTTAATGTCTCATTTACTAACCAAGCCCTCATTGCTACACAACACCACCATTGGCACCATGCTATCAAATGAGATGTGATGGAACATGTTTATCTGTGCTGGTATGGCATCATTCATGAAGCTATCCATAAGAACCTAAGAAGAGCCCTGCTGGATCAGGCCAAGGGCCCATCTAGTCCAGCTTCCTTTATCTCACAGTGACCCCACCAGATACCTCTGAGAGCACACGAGGCAACGAGATCCCTGTCTCCTGATGCCCCTTCCTCTGCATCTGGCATTTAGAGGTGTGTGTGTGTGTGTTTAGTCGTTTAGTCGTGTCCGACTCTTCGTGACCCCATGGACCAGAGCACGCCAGGCCCTCCTGTCTTCTACTGCCTCCCGGAGTTGTGTCAGGTTCATGTTGGTTGCTTCGCAGACACTGTCCAGCCATCTCATCCTCGGTCGTCCCCTTCTCCTCTTGCCATCACACCTTCCTAACATCAAGGTTTTTTCCAAGGACTCTTTTCTTCTCATGAGATGGCCAAAGTACTGGAGCCTCAGCTTCAGGATCTGTCCTTCCAGTGAGCATTCAGGGTTGATTTCCTTTAGAACTGATAGGTTTGTTCTCCTTGCAGTCCAGGGGATTCTCAAGAGCCTCCTCCAGCACCACAATTCAAAGGCATCAATTATTCGGCGGTCTGCTTTCTTTATTCATTAGATGGCCAAAGTACTGGAGCCTCAGCTTCAGGATCTGTCCTTCAAGTGAGCATTCAGGGTTGATTTCCTTTAGAACTGATAGGTTTGTTCTCCTTGCAGTCCAGGGGATTCTCAAGAGCCTCCTCCAGCACCACAATTCAAAGGCATCAATTCTTCGGCGGTCTGCTTTCTTTATGGTCCAGCTCTCACTTCCATACATCACGACAGGAAAAACCATAGCTTTGACTATTCGGACTTTTGTTGGCAAGGTGATGTCTCTGCTTTTCAATATGCTGTCCAGATTTGTCATCGCTTTCCTCCCAAGACGAAGGCGTCTTTTAATTTCAGGGCTGCTGTCTCCATCTGCAGTGATCATTGAGCCCAGGAAGATAAAATTTGACACTGCCTCCATATCTTCCCCTTCTATTTCCCAGGAGGTGATGGGACCAGTGGCCATGATCTTAGTTTTTTTGATGTTGAGTTTCGGACCGTTTTTTGCACTCTCCTCTTTCACTCTCATTACAAGGTTCTTTAATTCCTCCTCACTTTCTGCCATCAGAGTGGTATCATCTGCATATCGGAGGTTGTTGATATTTCTTCCGGCAATCTTAATTCCGGCTTGGGTTTCTTCCAGTCCAGCCTTCCGCAGGAAGGAAGGAGGTACCTTCCTTCTAAGCCTGGAGATTATACATCCCCACCATAGCTTGGAACCTGTGATGGACTTTTCCTCCAGAAATCTGTCCAATCCCCTTTTAAAGGGATCTAGGCCAGATGCTATTGCCAGATCCTGTGGCAAGGAGTTCCACAGACTAACAACATGCTGGGTCAAGTAATATTTTCTTTTATCTGTTTCTCACTGTCCCAACACTCAGTTTGAGTAGATGTCCCCCGGTCCTGGTATTGCATGAGAGGGAAAATAGCTACCCTCTACTCACTTTATCCATCCCCTGCATCATTTTATATGTCTCAATCATGTCCCCCCTCAGGTGCCTTTTTTCCAGACTAAAGAGCCCCAAACACTGTAGCCTTTCCTCAGAAGGGAGGTGCCCCAGCCCAGCCCTCATTTTGGTCACGCTCTCCTGCACCTTTTCCAGTTCCATGATTTTTTTGAGGTGCGGTGACCAGGACTGTATGCAGTACTCCAGGTGCAGCCTTACCAGCGTTTTGTACAACGGCATTATAATATTGACTGTTTTATTTTCAATCCTCTTTTTAATGATACCTAGCATGGAATTGGCCTTCTTCACTGCCACCGCACACTGAGTGGACACTTTCACCAGGCTGTTCACCAGCACACCAATATCTCTTTCCTGATCCATCATGGAGAGCTCAGAACCCATCAGCTGATAACTAAAGTTTTGATTTTTTTTACCCCATTGTTTATTATTTTACACTTTCTTTCTTATGTTGAAATGCATTTGCCATTTTGCTGCCCATTCTCCCAGTTTCGAGAGATCCTGGAGCTCTTCACAATCCCTTCTGGTCTTCACTACTCGGAAAAGTTTTGTGTCATCTGCAAATTTGGCCATCTCACTGCTTATGCCTGTCTCGAGGTCAACAGGTTGAAAAGTACCGGTCCCAGAACAGATCCCTGGGGCACTTGCTCTTCCTTGTGAAAATTGCCCATTGACCCCCACTATCTGTTTCCTGGTTCTCAACCAGATCACAATCCATAAGAGGACCTGCCCTCTTAGCCCCTGACTGTGGAGTTTTCTCAGCAGCCTTTGGTGAGGAACCGTGTCAAACGCCTTCTGAAAATCCAGATAGGCAATATCCACTGGTTTGCCCACATCCACATGTCTGCTGACCTTTTCAAAGAATTCTGAAAGGTTTGTGAGGCAAGACTTACCCTTACAGAAGCCATGCTGATTTTCCCCCAGCAAGGCTTGTTCTTCTATGTGTTTTAAGATTTTATTTTGGATGAGACTTTCCACCATCTTCCCTGGAACAGATGTTAAGCTAACCAGCCTGTAGTTTCGTGGGTCCTCCCTCCTTCCCTTTCTAAAGATTGGTTTGACATGTTCTATTCTCCAGTCCTCTGGCACTGTGTCCGTTTTAAGGAACAAGTTGTATATTTTAGTTAAGAGATCAGCAACTTCATTTCTCAGTTCCTTAACCACCCTTGGGTGGATGCCATATGGGCCTGGTGATTTATTGATCTTCAATTTATCAATTAGGTCTAAAACATCCTCTCTTTTAACCTGTATCTGATTTGATTCATTAATCAGGAGGGGCCATTCAGGCAGCAGAATCTGCCCAAGGTCTTCTGTAGATGCAAAGAACTCATTAAATTTCCCTGCAAACTCCAAGTCCCTACCTCCCCTTTACCTTCCTCATCATCTAGAGGGCCACCTCTAGTAGGTTTCCTGCTTCTAAGATAATTAAAGAAGCTTTTATTATTCCCCTTTATATTGCTGGTCATACGTTCCTCAAAGTCCTTCTTTACCTTCCGTATCATCTTCTTACATTTCTTTTGCCAGAGTTTGTGTTCCTTTTTATTTTCCATTTATGGAAGGACCCCCCTTGCCCTTTAAAGCCTCTCTAACCATGCCAGCACCCTCTTAGTTGAACCCTCTTTTCTTTGCGATATGCACTTCCGCTGGGCCTGTATTACTGTTGTTTTAAACAGTCTCCATGCACTCTGGAGAGACTGGATTCATTTTACCTTCCCTTTCAACTTCTTTCCAACAGGTTTCCTCATCTGAGGGAAGTCCGCCCTTCGGAAATCAAATGTTTTTGTGTCAGATTTGCTTGACACTCTTCCCCCAACATGCATGGTGAAAGAGATCGCATGGTCACTATCCCCTAGCTGCTCGGTGACATTCACGTCCCTAACCAGGTCCTGAGTACCACACAATATTAAATCCAGAGTCACCTGTCTTCTGGTGTGCTCCATGACAAGTTGCTCCAAAGCACAGTCATTTAGCATGTCAAGAAACACAGTCTCTCTTTCTTCACCCAAGCATGCATTGGCCCAGTCGATATGAGGATCATTGAAGTCACCCATGATGACAATCCTGTCCCTCTTGGGCACCTCCTTGATTTGTCTCCTCATTTCAAGGTCCCCCTCAAGTTTTTGATCTGCGATAGCACATGGCCACTAGAGTCATCTGTCCTCTGGTGGTCCTCATGAAAAGTTGCTCCAAAGCACAGTCATTTAGCATGTCAAGAAACACAGTCTCTCTTTCTTCACCCGAGCATGCATTGGCCCAGTCGATATGAGGATCATTGAAGTCCCCCATGATGACAATCCTGTCCCTCTTGGGCACCTCCTTGATTTGTCTCCTCATTTCAAGGTCCCCCTCAAGTTTTTGATCTGCAATAGCAGACACCCACTATCACATCTCTCCTTGGGCCTGGCAGTTTAACCCACAGTGATTCTATGATGGAGTCAGAACCGTTGTCCATCTCCATTCTGCTGGATTCTACCCGTTCCTTGACATTGATGGCCGCCCCACCTCCGACACACCCCTCCCTATCCCTCCTATAGAGCTTATAGCCTGGGATTGCGGAATCCCACTGGTTCTCTGAATTCCTCCAGGTTTCTCTTATGGCCACCCTATCAATGTTATCCGTAGCCACCAAATGTTCCAGCTCTCCCATCTTTACTCAGACGCTTTGGGCATCTGCATAAAAGCACCTGTGCACAGGGTCCCCCAAGAAAAGCCACTTGTCTTTACCCTCTCCATCCTCATTCCACAGAGATTAGGAGTCCTGAACCAGATGCCACTAAGCTCCTGTTGGCTTTCTCCTGGGATACAGTTTAAAAGCTGTTTTGCCACTTTTATAATGTTATGCACAAGGGACAGGAAAGGTCCCAAACAAGCCTAAAGTATTCTTAGGAACTGTTTCTAACTTGCTGTGTTGAGATGAATATGATGTGATCCAGTGGCTCCATCTCCTCTACTGAGCAAAGAGTCCCAAACAAATGATTACTGGTCTTTGAAGTGGAATTCAAAAACCAAATTGAAAACTAAAATTTAAGTAATATATACAGTCCCTATTTGCGCAGCAGGTCCAAAAGGCACAACTTGTCACCTTGCAGACACTATTTTTGTCATCAGACCATTTAGGATATCTTGCCTTATATATCTCCCCTTTGACTGGATGGCATTTTGGACACGTGGCTAAAGGGGTTCCCCTCCATTCAGACAAATTCAAGCATTTAAACCTACCAAACGCACCTCTGAAGTTGGTGGGACAAGAGAAAGACCTCTTCTGATGATCTTAACATCTGAGCAGCCTCATAAAGGAAGACCTAGTTAGTTAGGCATCCTTCAGCCTCGAAAGACTATGGTAACGTGCTCTGTATGGAGGACTTGGAACAGCATCTAGTGTGGCTGAGAAAGCCACTTCGAGAGTGACCATCCCTTCCACACTGAAGACAAATCCAATCTGTCCCCTGTCCAGCTCCCTGATTTGGCTGCTTTCAGGACTGCCTCTTGGCCTCGGCCTGCTGGTCAAGGGTCTCTTCAAATTGGGAGAGGCCATGATGCACTGCCTGCCTCCAGACTGAATGCTCAGATGTCAAGGTTTCCCATCTGTTGAGGTCCATTCCTAAGGCATTCAGATCCCACTTGAGATGTCCTTGTATCTCAGCTGTGGTCTCCCTCTGGGGCGATTTCTCTGCGCTAATTCTCCATACAGGAGATCCTTCGGAATCCGACCATCAGCCATTCTCACGACATGCCCAAGCCAACGTAGACATCGCTGTTTCAGTAATGTATACATGCTAGAAATTCCAGATCGTTCTAGGACTACTCTAAAGGACTACTCTACATAAAGGACTACTCTAAAGGACTACTCTAGGACTACTCTACACAAAGGAAGACATGGTCTTTGAAATAGCCATTCAGGGCTTTATAGGTTAGAACCAGCATTTTGAATTGTGCCCAAAGAGTATTTCCACCTTCCAAAGCTCTATCTGTATCAAATCCGGTGTATATATCCTAAACCCTGAAAACTGGTTGGCTCAAAGTGCAATTGACCCATAACTTATTTCCTTCTGCTACAAACCTGCTTCCAGAGGAACCATCATAACATACTCACCAGGCGTTGTCGCTAACTTGGGTTCTTTCAAATCTAGTTCTGGTATGAGCAATGGGCTCTCATTTTCTTCACAGTCTTCCATCTCAGGGATAGAATCTAGGACAGTGGAGATAAGCACTCATTCTAGATCTGCAGGGGTTACAGTTGTGCAGACCCTGGTAACTGTACTCCCAACCAAGCAGGAAAGGCTGAATCCCTGAAAGATGGGGAGAAGTGAGATAAGACAAAAGATGCCCTCTATCTCATGCATCTTTTTTCCAATGGAATTGTTAGGGTCATTCATGGCCACATATCTGCAGGTGTTGCTCATCCCAGTAGAGCAAGGGATTAATGATTGCTTTAATCCTAAATGCCTCATCATACTACATTGAGGTGGCTTTGAAAAAAAAACTTCCCTAGATCAATGGTCTCTAACTTTGGGAAACCCAGATGTTCTTGGACTGTGAACCTTTCTAGATCAGTGGTCTCCAACTTTGGGAAACCCAGATGTTCTTGGACTGCAATTCCCAGAAACCCCAGGTAGCACATTTTGTGGTGGCTTCTGAGAATAATACACGAAAAACACCTGGGTTATCCAAGGCTGAGAACCATTGTTCTAGATGCAAAATGCCTGGGTACCAAAGACTGGGCTCTGACTTTGCCAAACCTCATTCATAAGTCAGAAATCCAAGGCTCCAATTCTGTCATGTGTAGCTTAATCATGTCAAATGCACATCTGCTTCTAACCTGCCTCAGATATCCCATCATGCCATACTCACAGGATCTTCGTATTGCAGACTTTTGTACACCAAGCTCTTCACTGTTCCACTCAATGTCATTGATAGAACCTAGGTGGTAAAGACAGACAATCATGTCTAAAGTTAAAGGCACCGTTGTATAGACCATAGGAGTTCTAATCCTAGGCACTAGAATTCCCTGCCATTTGATGTGTCCCCTTAGAAGCACTCGAACATATACAAATGCCTTGTACTGAATGAAATAATGGCCCAACTACCCCTGTATTATCAACTCTGACTTGAGCTCTACTAGAAAACGGAATTGGTCTGTGCCCTTCATCATATCCACTTCTGGCAGCGGCGTCACATACTTCTCTTGATCATCGTTCATGGCACTTTTCAAATATTTGAAAGGCTGCATCATATCCTTCTCTTGTTCATAGTTCATAGCACTTTTCAAATATTTGAAAGGCTGCCATACAGAGGAGGGGCAAGATCTGGTCTCGATCATCTCAGAGTGCAGGACACGCAACAATGGGCTCAAGTGAAAGGAAGACAGATTTCGGTTGAATATCAGGAAAAACATCCTAACTGTTAGAGCAGTACGACAGTAGAACCAGTTACTTTGGGAGTTGGGGAGTACTTCCAACACTGGAGGCATTCAAGGAAAACTTGGATAATGACCTGGCAGATATGCTTTGATTGTATTCCTGCGCTGAGCAGGGGGTTGGACTTGATGGTCTTGTAGGCCCCTTCCAACTTCACTGTTCTATGATTCCATGATAGTTCTCCCAAAAGCCATCAATATAATCTAGGTTGATGGAGATAAGTATTCATACCTTGAGTTGTAAGGATTGCAATCGTACCCAACAAGTAAGGACAGGAATAGAATACTGTAGGTTAAATGATACATGTGAAATATACGTGTGCACCAGCCTAGCTGGGTTCATAATCTGAACTGTGGATGCAGCTGCTGTTCATGTCACTTGATAGAGAAGGACATTCACAGTTGCTTTGATCCCTAAATGTCTCATCGTATTAGAAAAGGTCAGTATATGTTGAAAATATGATGCTGTGTAGTAGGAATGTCCACTATCAAAGTTCTAATTCCATGTAAACTCATGCATAAGTTAGAAAGGCAAGTACTACCAAAGTTCTAATTCCATATAAACTCATGCATAAGTTAGAAAGGCAAGTACAAAGTAGCTTATGTTTATGCCTATATTACCGTACTCCATCTGATCCCTATCTAACTTTAGGAGAAGTGCTTTTACTTGAATTTCGTTCTGCTTCTGGACCCTCGGGTATGAGAGGTTTGCTTGGGGGATACATCCCATATTCATTGAGCCATGGATCATCAATGCAAGCTAGATTATCGAGTGTCAACTTCATATAACATTTTGTCTTAAATATTCAGATTGGTTCACCTGCATTATCTCCAATAAAATGCATGTTCTAACTCAATTTGCCAGAAAAAGTGTCACCATAGAATTTTGAGATTGTAAATCTAGGAATTAGAATATTGATTTGTAGGTGTCTGTGTGTCTATGCTCCTTCATGATTCTGAAATTCTATTTTATCGGAATCATACAAATTCCCAAAGATACATAGTTACCGAAACAAGAAATTGAGTTAAATCAAAGGTTAAAGTTCCTGTCTTCATTTTTAACCCAATTCAGCAACCATTTACATCTCCCCTTCTGTGAAACAGTTTATGGAGACATGTGGGAAGAATATCTGAATTAGTCCTCAGAATAGTACTTCTGGATCTTTGTGTATATCCTATGGAATGAGCAATGAATTCTTCTGTCTTACCTCTGGCACCTAAGGAAAAAGAGAAGAAGAAGTAACCACAGAGGAGGTAGAAGTACTTCATGGCTGGTTAGATTTTTCTAGCAGTTCTGAGATCTCAAAGAGGAAGTGATGGAAAGCCTTTCTTATTTATAGCTCATTGGAGAACCACAAGCCCCAGAGGGAACAGGAAGGAATATGACATAAATGTTTGAAAACCATGACCATCAAATTCTTAATAAAGTGGTGCCTCGCTTGACGAGAATAATCCATTCCAGCAAAATCGCTGTAGAGCTAAATACTCGTCAAGCCAAATTAAAAAGCCCATTGAAATGCATTGATAACAACTCAGTTCGTTCCAACAGGCTAAATACCTCAGCGTCCAGTGAAGATCCTCCATAGGGCGGCCATTTTCTGATGCCTGTGCAGCAAAAAATCCATCCTAAAGCACAGCAGGGAGCTATTTTACACAGCAGGCAGCCATTTTGAAACCCAATGATCTGCTGTTTTGATCATCGCAATGTGAAGAATCGGTTCCCGAAGCAGGGAACCGATCGTCGGGAAGCGAACTTTGCCCATTAAAACATTGTTTTGCGATTGCAAAAGCGATCGCAAAAACCTCATTGTCAAGCGGATTCATTGTTTAACAAGGTAATCATTAAGCGAGGCACCACTGTCTCTCTCTACTGTTCTCATGTGGCTGTTTCTACAGTTATAGTACCAGCTTCATCACTGACAGCAAACAACTGCATGAATCGATCACAGGAAGAAACTACTTCATTTCATTGATTAGTAGTTCATCATATAATGTTGTCTATCAATCCATATGGTCTGTGCTTTATAATATTCCATGTTGTTGATACATCTAAATAGGTTTCATCTGCTCCAGGAAGAGGCAGTTCCCTCCACCCTTGGGCAAGGTTTTCTTGCTGAAAGCAACTTCCAAGAAAACTGGGACAATCCCATGAATGGGGTTCTACATGTGGATGGGAGAAAAAATAAATATTATAAGAGGAAACTGCCATCCGTACACCATGACAATCACCAAAAAAAGAGAGGCAGGAATAAGATGTCCTTCTAGATATCTATGGTTCAAGAAGGTACAGCTAGTCGAGCATTTTGTTCCTGGTCAGAATCAAGTGTTTGAGGAGGAAACCAGTTTGCTGGATTTGTTCCAGCTTGGATTGATATCGGTCTGCTGCTGAACCACAACAAATGAGTGGCGTCCACCCACCCTAGTGCTGAAACCTTCCTTGAAGATTTTTCTCAAGACCAGGTGCAGCCAAAGTTAGTCCTCAGTTTGACTGTCCCATCTCTTCCACGTTCAGGGGCCCATTGAAGGTATTATGTGCCCTGTCTGGTGATCCCCACATTCCTGGAGCCAGAACATAACTATCTATTCCAGACTAGAAATTCTTTGAAATTCTGATTCTCTTCCAATGTTTCTTCCTATTGCCAGTGTAACACGAAGTCCAAGTATCGAGTCCCAGTTGTCTTCTCTATTACAGAACCTTGGGTACCCACCTCCCTTTTGGCCACCCAAAAATCAGGCAATCGTTTCTGCTTGATGGACTTCCTTGGTATGCAGAAGTATATTTATATGCAAATTATAAAAATGCCTATCTTTTCACCTGAAAGCGTCACGAAAGCGTATTTCTAGCATCTATGGGATTTTTGGAACAGTAAACACTGGGAGAAATTGGACCCAATAATTTCTGCAGTTTCAGTGGATCATGGATGGAAATGGAAATAGCCATTCTCTGTCTCTGTCTCTGTCTCTGTCTCTTATTCTCTGTCTCTGTCTCTGTTTCTCTCTCTCTCTCTCTCTGTTGGAATCATTGTAAAATTGTGTTAGGTGCATTGAGCAGTGGGTGATGACACTCCTGTCTGATCTCAGTCACATTACTCCTAACTACACAAATCCGTCTCTTCCATTGATGTAACTGACTGAAGTCTTAATTGGGATTACCTAGGGCAATAGGGATATGGTGGCGCTGCAGGTTAAAATGATGTAACCGACTGAAGTCTTAATTGGGATTATCTAGGGCAGTAGGGACGTGGTGGTGCTGCGGGTTAAACTGCAATGCCTCTGGGTTGCAAAGTCGAAAGGTCAGCAGTTTGAATCCACACAATGGAGTGAGGTCCTGTCATTTGTCTCCGCAAGTGACGGGACCTAGCACTTCGAAAGCATGTAAAAATGCGAGTAGATAAATAGGTACCACCACGGTGGGAAGGCCACAGCGTTCCGTGTCTAGTCGCGCTGGCCACGTGACCATGGAAACTGTCTACAGACAAACGATGGCTCTACAGCTTGGAAACGGGGATGAGCACCACTCCCTAGAGTCAGTCATGACTGGACAAATTGGCAAGGGGAAACTTTACCTTTACCTAGGGCAATACGTTGCCTCTCTGCTTTTGGGATTCCCTAACACCCAACATGCCTCAAAACTCTTTTTGACACAGTAAGTCCCCTTGTCTCTTGTAGGGGAATGGGAAGGGCAATCTGCCATATTTTGAAATTTCCCTGCACCTCTATTTCCCTTCTATTTCTTTCATTTTAAAGAGAGAGAAAATGGCCAGAAGAAGACTATCCAGAATTTTAAAACCTATTTTTGTTGAATTTACTTCTCAGTTAACCAAAAAAGCCTTTGTGGCAACATTTACATTGCATGGCCACAGCATTAAGTATTTAAAACTTAAAAAAAAGAAGGATGCTATTTGGCCCCTTCAGCCTTTCATCCTTGTGAGTCTAGCCTCCACGCCACCATCAAATCTGAAAAATGCCCCTCAGATGTGCTGTTATCACCAATCCCTGATTTAAATGGACATTCTCGGTCAAACTATTAAACCCTTTGAGGGCTCATCCCTGTATCTTTAAAATACAGAAAGACGCTCCAAGACCATAAGCTGAACTGCATGGGTTTTATTTTTTAATAAGCAAACATAGGAAAAATTTGGTTGAGGGGCAATACATGGGAAAAATCATAGCAGGGAATCAGTTATGTTTGACAATTCAAATGAATAACAACACAGGAATAGGCAACAGACAGACTGAAAATCCTGGGGTCACTGATTACTCCAGCCATTGATGGAATCAGAAATCCACTGTGAATGGTCAACACTGTTTCATTACCTGGATAAAGAGAGAAACAGTGTCATAATCATTATTTTTAATCAACTTACACACTCAAAAAAAAAAAACCACTAAATATTTTATGGACTTTATTATGCACTCATGTCTAATATCAGGGATACAGAGCATCTGGCTCTTGAAATACTTTTCAAATGAACCACTGTTGTCTATGCAGGCAGGAACAGGTGACATGCTTTC